CCAGCACCCCTCTTACGATCGCCGCTATAACAAAGTGTAAAAGAACACAAGCGAATGATACTGTAAGACGCGTGTGGAGGCATGGTGTTTTGTCATTTACAAATGTTGACGAAGGATTTTCAAATTATTTTTCAACTTTAATCAACACTTCTTTCAAAGTAATTTCAACAGATTTACTAACTCGCATACATTGATTATGTCCGTTTACCTACAATTACTGAGCAATATAAATTCGCTTCCATGGAGCTTAATCTGAGACAATTTTGCATTGATTTTGTGTAAGGGATCCCATATATGTTCTCACACGTTTAATACAACTGTAACCATAAAAATACCCTCTGAAGAAACCTCATCGTTTGCTTGAAATTACTGATCGGTGTGTCAAAACAGTGTGCACCCAAAGTAAATACTTAAACCTAGATTAGAAACCACATCGCAATCACTGCCAAAGAGCATGACTATAATGGTTAACCGTAGTTACACCTAGAGAATGGCTTCAGTACATCGAATCTATTTCCTAAGTTCATTTGCATGTAAGTACCTCTTGTTTCAGAGAAGATCACAGTATCACAGGTCTAAATCATCAGTAATGGGCAAGTTGATGTATCTGTATTTGCTCCACCAGCTATGCTCTAAAGAGTGATTCGCTTACTGACCCCAACTGACAATGGGAATCAATGCCTACAGGGAGGTAGATAAAGACTGAGTCTATATTTGAGCTGAGCTATATGACTGAGCTAAGGCGCCAGGCTAATGATCCAGCGAGGCTGAGGTGCCGGGTTCGAGCCCACATGTGACCGGTTGTGAAAACCTTGGAGTCAACTTTGTGCGCAGACTCTTTCCGTGTTGCCACAACCCCTAGTGTACAGTACACAACCCTGTGCACTTAAAAGAAGCCACGAATCCGTTGGTATATGACCAGACGTTGGCCACATGAATACGTGCATACACCTAGTTGCGGGTACAGCAACGTGCAGTGAACTTGGATAAAGTACTGTGACTATGTGACCCAGTCCATCCAGCTGTGAATTGGTACCTCGTTAGGATGAGAAAGTCACAATAACTCGTGCGCCCAGTGGCAGCAAGAGTTGTATACTCCCCAGGGAGTTGAGATTGATAATACGGTGTGCCGTTGAGATTGACATCCAATGATCGAGGGAAACAATACCAACGTCTTGAGCATGCACTAGTTGCGTGGATATGTGCGCTGTATAAATATCACATGATGATAATAATATGGCATTGCCACATGAACGTTTGGTCCAAATTAAAGCGACAATCACTATCAATAGTAAACAATATCTAAAGCCAGCACCCGAGAATAACATCTCGCCCCCCCCTGAAATATTGGTGACAATGACGTAAGCATGTCATGTACTCAACTCACACATTTTGCTTAAAAGTTGGTATTGGAAATATGTGCACGATGCCGGTATTCTGGTCCGACAAATGACAAGGCAACCATCACAGAATATATCTTCTGAAGATCCTCATCCTTTGCTTGAAGTTTCTGATTGGTGTGACAAAACAGCCGATGTAAATTATTCTACCGCGATTACGTGAATCGAAACAACAAAAACACACCAAAAGAACATAATTACAATGACTAACCGACATTGCACTTAATGGATGGCTTCAGTGCAGAAGATCTATTTCCTGATTTTATTTGAATATCAGTTACTGTTGTTTTCTGATAAGATCGTAATATTGCCATTCTCATACGGCGCTTCTTAATTAATAGGCAGTCTTCACGACAAAGACCCGGGTTCGATTGTCCACATGGGTGCAATGTGTGAAGCCCATTTCTGGAATATATCTAAAGGCAGCGTAAAACTAAACTCACTCACACACTTTTAATCTATACATTTACATTGTGACGAGAAATCTCTGCTAAGCTATTGCACAACGTGAAAGAAATTGGTGCTAGGCAGCATTGTATAAGATCACAGACGGTCCTGGCGTGAGGACAATGCTTTCAAATAGCTGAGATGGATTTGATCACTGTTTGCAAATATGCCCCACCCCACCCCCACCCCCGGTCCAATTACACAAACCAGTCATAGTTATAATTGCTCTTACAGTCGCCATACAATTGTCCATCTCCACTTTCACAAACCGATCTTAGCGCGATTGTGAGACGATCTACTTTGAAGATATACTGAGGGAAAAAAATAAGATATCACATGAGAGCACAAGTGTTCCTTTATATTTTTTCAAAGGTTTCTTCAAAAGCTTTGTGTCGCCCAGCTTGTGAAGAAACCTGGAATAAAATAAAGGAACACTTGTGCTTTCATGTGATCCCTTATAATTTTCCTTCAGTATACCATGATCTCAGCTAAGATCGAAATCTTCAAGACACGAACTTCTTAAAGTCGACTCGCGTATACAGTTGTCTACAAAAGCGGACAACATGTTGCACATACTGAAAAGGGAACCAATCTGGGCACAAAATATGTGCTTCCCTACTCGCACACTTTTCATGAAAGAAAAATAACATTATATTATTAGAAGGAAATGATGACCGTGAAAGAGCACATCAATTACATTTTTCTACATTTTGAACTGTCAGTTGTAATTGAAAACACAGATACCTATATGAAAATATTGATATATACATAAATACATTCATACATTTTGTTCTAGATTTAAAGACAGATTAATTACAAAAATGTAAATAAAAAAATTATTATAGTAAAATGTCTTTATAACAAAGCATATATATTTTATGATTTGCCAGTGGGCCATTATTTTATCCGCATCTGATTTTTGTAAAATCCCAAATATATCCCACATGTATACGTTTTGTTACAATAAGATAATGTGCTACTACTACGGGAAAAAAGCATGGCAGGGAATAAGAATGATGACCAAACAAGTGTGAGTGCACTCATTTACAGTCCGTTTGAGACAAAATGATACCGATGAATTGCAATCTATCACGAAAACAAATAGACATAAAAGAATCAAACCAACGCGGACTGCATAAAACACAACAGACCAACTATAGGAAGAAATTGCATAATTTGTGTCACAAAAATAAAAAAGTTGTTTAAGAAACTGTCATCATTTAATTGTGCGTTTTCCAAGTTTTACAAGGGCGCAGTTGCAACTAAAGGAACAGCGCGAAAAAAATATTTTGGCAAACTATTGACTGAGCGTCAGCAACCATCAATGAATCTGCATACGATGGCATTATAGTAGTCAACTCGTCATTGACATCATACTGTGTCTTCTCCCTTCCATACATGTATTTGTGAAGCTGAAACACGAAATGTAACAGAAATTATGTTCCAAAGGACATGTTATTTAACTCACTGTTCCATATGCCTTTTACGAAAAGAGCAATTACAATATGATTTTCATTATTTAACTGTCGCACGCTGATCCAGTCACTTTGCACACGTCACTCCCATCCACAATCCAGTGGTTGTGGATCCAAATTTGACTCTGAAGCCTTCTCATCATGACGCTCACTCTGAAATAACCCAAAAATGTTTTCTTCATTTTATTGTTACAAATGCTGCGGCAGGGGGAAGTCCTTAGCGCTTCAATTCACTGCGCAGAGCTGCTTAGACTTAAACAGAATCCGTTTGTAAGTGGCTATGGTACATATTACCCTATTAATTAGATTAGAATTACGGCCTTATGCTACCTGAGTAGTATGATGTTCCAAATCATAAATTACTAACAGACTGACTGACTGAGTTTGGTTTTACGCCGCTTTTAGCAATATTCCAGCAACATCACGGCGGGGGACACCAGAAATGGGCTTCACACATTGTGCCCATGTGGGGTTTCGAACCCGGGTCTTCGGCGTGACGTAATTACTAACAGAACACAATTGCGGTTCAGAGACTTTTACATAATGACACTGTTTCATCTATGTTCGATTTGATGACATTAAACTGAATGTAGCGCCAGTCTAAATGTGGAGGAAGTGTTGGACATTGTAATATTCTGTGGATTAGGAGTGTAACTATCAACCCAAACATATACATCATCGACCACGCTTCAAACAACACTCCTGGTTTCATACAAAAAGAAAACGTTGTTGGTTAAAATCAGAAAGGTACGGACTACTAAACAGATAAAGAAAATACCAGTTTGATAACAATTTACGACAATACTTTAAGGCTGAAGCTGTATTCAAAGACTGTCGTAGTTCCTAAAGGAAATTTCATGGCCAGAGTGAGTGAGTGAGTGAGTTATTATTTAACGTCACATCGGCAATATTTCAGCCATATCGTAACGAGAACACTTGACATTGAAATAGAATATGTATAGAGATTATAAAAACCTGCCGACAAAGGACAGTAAAGCAACTAGGGTATCACAGATATGCATGTAAAACTAGTAATTGAATCTAAAACATTGTAACTATAGGGGACAACACAATATAAAAATAGGCTATAGATCCCAACAACTGAAGGTAAATCACCATACTAGGGTCCATGGTCATGGCCAGAAAAGAGCAGTACATGTTTCGTCTCAAGTACTACTTGGAGATTGTTAACATCCCGGCACTTTCTATTAATATTATTGCAACTGATTCTCCCGTGTCCTCACAAAACTAGTTCTTTTACTCTAAATATTTGAAACTAAAATATACGGTTGTGAAATCTGGGGTTATACATACCGAGGATCCATTGATGTCCAAAGTACCTTCTTTAAAAAGATACCTTGGTATAAGTATATACTGCTCATCCAGCGCAATAATGGGAGAGATTGGGCACATAACTTAAGTGCAAATTACTTTTGTAAATGCGTTCGCTATTGGTGCAGACTTACCCGTATCACTGCGAACAGATACCTGCACGCTTGTTAAGCTATGTTGAACGATCGGGATGAGCAGGGGAGTACAAACTGGGTGTCCCACTTCAGAATTCTACTTTTTAAAACTGGATTATCATATATCTATATCGCCCAAGACTGTGGAGATATGAAACATTTTCGAAACAGCGATGCTGTCACAACACGAGATCAATAACACAAGGCAAAAATATACTAAATGTAATTTATTACAGAATTATCCAAAAAGGAAAATTGAATACGATTTCCCCCCAAATCAGTCTTTCGAATAGTCACCTATACATCATCATTCATACCCACAAATATATAACATATACATATACCAACAACAGTTTTACATAATTTTCCAATATTGTGATTTTTATTAAATATGCGCCAAGTTCACAATCTGCCACATTGCAAATATCAAAAGTCCTCTCCAAGAGTTAGCGCACGCTCATGGATCAGAGGCACTTGGTCTGGATATAGGTCACGCTGGTCTCAGTCCAAGATGATATAATCCCATGCCAAGGGTCACATTTGATCAAAGGTCACGCTGATCTGTCTCATCACCTGAACTGAACTAAGGTCAGGCTGACTTCAGATCCTCATCGGGTCAGTCTACCTGACGATGTACTGGCTGGTCATTTTGTCGAGGCCACCCCCCGTCTCTTACATACAGGTCCCAGGCACTATACAAATAATGTAGTTGATATACTAGTCATTCATTACACAACGAGTATTATAAACTCAGAATGATAACACAATAATAATTCAACATACGGGGGCGGTGGGGTAGCCTAATGGTTAAAGCGTTGGCTCGTCACGCTGAAGACCCGGGTTCGAATCCCCACATGGGCACAATGTGTGAAGCCCCATTTCTGGTGTCCCCCCGCCGTGATGTTGCTGGCATATTGCTAAAAGCGGCGTAAAACCAAACTCAGTCAGTCAGTCAGTCAGTCAACATACGAGTGAGTGAGTGAGTATGCTTGTACGCCGCTTTTAGCAATATATCACGGCGGGGAACACCAGCAACATACAACGAGTATTATGTAGTCACGAATGACTATACTTTACAGCATTAGTTTACACTTCACTTATAATAACCATCGTTATTCAACACAGCCAAGTGATATGTCAATATGTGGATGACAACGCTCCGTCTTTCCATCATAAGTCAGATGCAGAGGTAAGAGATCGCCACTCATTGTTGATCCGACTACACCTGTGATCATTCGCTTGTAAGTGAGTCCCCCCTATCTCTACAAGCTTTGACCCTTTCTCTGCCATGGTCCATTGCCCACACGGTACGTACTTAAGTCCTGTTTGGTCAAAGTTAATGATAAGCTCATCAGGGATTTTCTTCTCTTTGATGTTTGTACCGATACGCCCGAGGAATTCTTTTCTAATGTCGGATAAGTTTTCTGGTAGGGTGCGTGCACTTGTGGTTGCCTCAGGAAAATCCCATTCTGTTCAATAATGACAAAGCCCAGGCTTCAGTCAAGGTGATTGATCCGCCGTTGGTATCAAGAAGTCCTGGATTCACGCTGTTGATAATCCCAGTTGCTCCGGCTATGACGATTGCTGTGTTCACTACTGCACCGGCATCACGAAGAGCTCTGATGTAGGTCTGTATTTGTTCATCAAAGTCGTTAAGTAGCAATTGTCTACCTCGGTTTTCTTTGGGAAGCGTTGTTTCAATCTTCTTTAACTCATGATCACTGACCCTTGTCTTGCGAGCCTTGACTAAACGTCTTTTGTATCCGTCTCTAATTGAGCGAGCGGTAGATTCTTTGGTGAACTTTCTACTGCAACTGGCAACACCATGTTCTAGAGCATAACGTGCAATCTTCGCTGATGTTTCGTCGTCATAAGAGTTGTAGGTGGATTCGCGTTTCCTTTTCTTGGGTGTGGACAGTGCAGTAAGAACCTCTTTGTTGGCTGCAGCCACGGTAGTTGCCGTCATTTTCATTGATGGGGCCTTGGTAGGGCTAGGAAGGAACGTTTCGGGTTCATCAACAGACTTCTTTAACCACGCTATTAGACTCATTTTGTCTCGTCAAAATGTAACGACATCGACTGAAACAAACTTTTATTCGTGCGATGGCACGTTTGAGTCAAGCTACTTACATGTATAAACTATCGTAAACAAAAGAGTTCAACTTCTCAGCTTTCTAACAACAACATAGTTTCAGCAGAGACCCATGCATGCATGCTTATAATTAGTTGTTAAGAAAACAATATCGTCTGAGAAAAAATGGCGTCATGTTTGAACTCTGCCGACAGAGTGTTTCATGGGCCATTTATCACAACAAAGGGTCAAACGTTTGTCTTCATTACTATTATTGCTGCCATGGACTGGTATACCGGTAGTTATAGTCAGACAGCAGTTATCACTGGCTACTAGGAGTTTTGCCGATAGCTCAGTGAGTATTGGTCCGGTAAGTGATGTTTCTGGCCACTTTCTTCTAACCTCGAAATTAACATTGTCTAAAATATTTATATATTTTAGGTCCCCAAACCTCGAAATTTAAATCAACTCGAAAGCTCTGGGGGTCTCAAACCCGGTATACGGTATTCATCTGAAAGCAACATCGTCACCACGCATGTAATACAAACTTCTGATTGCCATACATACGTTTGACTGCCAGCAATAAAACAAATTTCTTTTTGATTCATTCTTGAGACTTAAGGAGTGGCGTTACATGTACTGCGCCGAACATTTGATAATATATAATCCCTACCCACTGGAAAGTATAAAACAATTCAGAAACTACTCACGTCATGATACAACCAGCCTCTGCATACATCAACCTTCCGTTGGAACAGCCTCTCATGACTGTGCTGAAAACTCGCTACCCGTCTCCTTATCCGACAACACGCACGCTTAACGTGCTTACCCCGCCGTTCTCACTCATCTTGCATTACTTGCATTCTTTCCACACACTCCTATACTACTCAGTCCCCAAATACAGTTAAACCAGACTAACACCTCGCATATACAGTTAAACCGCATTAATATGTGATCTTGACAGATGCACAGATTTAAAACTTCAGAATTGGTGTAAACCATCAATAGTACAACATTTCTTTGTCACGATAGTTCTTATAAATCACAATAAACTACAGAGAGTTAGCCTTGTGGTTAAGGCGTTTGCTCGTCACGCCAAAGACTCGGGTTCGATTCCCCACATGAGTACAATGTGTGAAGCCCATTTCTGGTGTCCCCCGCCGTGATATTGCTGGAATATTGCTAAAAGCGGCGTAAAACCAAACTCACTCACTCACTACAGAGAGTTATTTATTATCAAATTCTATAAATAAAGATTTAAAATCTTTTCTGTCGAAGTTTCGTATACTTTCTCATAACTTGAGTGGGTGAGTTAAAATTTATCGTCACATCGGCAATATTTCAGCCAAATCGTGACGAGAACAAATAATTTTATACATAGTAATGAATGGTAAATTGTAAAAACCTGTCATCGGAGGACAGTAAAATAACTAGATTATCACAGATTCGAATTTAAAACTAGTAATTAAATCTAAAACAGTTTAACTATAGATGGCAATACAAGGTAAAAACAGGCTATACAACTGAACAACTGAAGGTAGATCACCATACTAGGGACCATGGGGACTTACAGTACATTTGCTTCCTGCATGGACTTCTCATAACTTGAAGATTCTGAACATATTCCATATGTCATATTATATCGACGCGTGTCAGCCTAATGTGGGAGGATAGTCCAAGGGGATGCACGTTTCAAACAACTACCACTGTGAACTCCCAGCATGGGTACGGCGCCAACAAACCAAGAGCCAGCATCCCATTGGTCGCCGCCTACAACAACCTTGAGTTCTGAAGACCTATTCTGAACCGGATCTTGACGAGTCTGCGGTAATCAAATCAACATAGCAAACTGTGAACTATACAACGCGTGCGATCTATGGAAACATAATCAGGAGGCGTTTGTTGAATTGCCCCAGTCGCACACAACATCGATAATCGCAAACGGAGTCTTCTCAGGTAATGCCGCGACTGTGTTTGGGACAATCTTCGTGTACATCATAGCAATGGCAGGAGGACATTTGCGTGGTGAATCTTAATAACCGGCATTTCCGGGCACGAACGTATTCAATTGATCCGTCCCAGATATTCCAGTCTACGCTAAACAAGAGGTACAACAGGCAGACGTTGCCCAAATTGCTTATAAACTAAATATATTGCTGGTAATCTCTCGCGAGTGAACTTGTCTGTCCATGCTACACTTAGTAGGGATCTCACAATACCTTGTCTGACGTATCAATATACTAAATGTACAGTTTGCATGGGAACTGTAGACTATCATCTGTCCACTGTCAAGCCATTGGGGGATTCGGGACAGAATAATAGCCAACAACATCTGATGCTCTTTTGGAGGCGGAAACCGAAATTTTATTTATTTTGATTTTTTAGCTATTTAACGTCGCACACATCAAGTTCTCACGCCGTTATTAAACTGGAGCTATTGCAACGTTAAGGTTGCCTAACCTAAACTCACTACACAATTGGGATAGGATGGATGTCATTTGTCAACCAAGTGAGCGAGTCTGAGCATCGGATCCCGAGCATTAGGTGCTTAAGACCAAAGCTACGAGGTTGTTAACGGAATCGTGTAATTAGGTGATATGGTTTATGCATGTTGATGGATCCTAAATGCGCAGATTGGTGCTAACGATAGCAATCACAAGATTGCCTGGGTAAAAACATGGGTTGCTGAAGACTAAATTCTAACCTGGGTTGATATAGGTTGCAAACAAACTTAAAGAATGACGTGGTGGGGTTCACTTGTTTGTTTGTTTGTTTGGCTGCTTGGTTGAAAGTCATTGCATCTCAGTCATGCGGTGAATGATGTTCATGACCCAGTGTGTGAGTTTAGTTTTACGCCGCTTTTAGCATTATTCCACCAATACCATGTCGAAGGACACCAATAATGGGCATCACACATTTTGCCTCTGAAGATCATAGACAACTTAGTTCTTGAACAACCCGTCAGTGGACTAATGGGCTGACCATATTGTTGATCACTCGAAAGGCAATAGGAATTGCCCCACTTAGCTCGGATGTTACTGATTGCGGCGTTAAACACACAAACTGCCAGACTGCTGATCGGGTGATCAGTTGACATGCTTTATGCATGTTGAGTAGCCCAGTTGTGTAGACGGATGCTCACGATGCCAATCACAAGACTACATGGGTCAGGTGTAGAAGCTACAGAAATTCTCCCTGAAGATAACTGACGAGGTATATATATTAGAATAAAATATCTAATCCACAATTGCATTAAAATTATAAATCACAAATTAGTTTTATCTCTGTTCTACCATGAAACCAACCATTTGAAAACATTAGTCTTACTTCTTGAAAATGCATAATAACACAGAGGTCCCGGAATTGGATAAGAGATGCGACAATATATGGATCGTCTACGATGAGGGGCTGGCTATGTCAGAATTTAGTACGATATTTTTGGAATTTTGGAAACACGTACATAATGCACATGATGACCTGTGAGAGACAATCAAAACACTTTTATTCAAAACTATGTGCGTTGTTTTTTGTCTCTTCGAAAATATTCCCAAAGCGCAGTATGTGTACTTTCTTATGTGCGTCAGATGACATTAACTGTCTCAGAATATTCTGACTTGGGGACACCAGTAGTGGAAGGTGTAACTTATATTTACAATTAATATATTAAATGTATTGAAATAATGGTTTAAGAGACAACAGATCAGTGAATTTGGAGCTAGCGAAAGGGATGAGTCACTTGGTGTTACCATGATAGTATTTTAACAGAAATCAGCATCAAGGAGTCGTGGTTCAAATGAAAATACATTCTTGGTTTTGTTCGATATCATCCGATATTGTACAATTGTATTCTCCCTAAACAGATTCTGATAATACTTACAGCTTCAGTTTCTTAGTTCAATCACTGATGCTGTCGACCTCAGGTGTCGAGTCTGAAAACACTAAAATACACGTCAACCTCACTTATCAGGCTTTGTTTGCAGTTGTTGGAGAAATAAAATTGCCAATTAGCCCATGTCGAAACACAGACTACAATGACAGGAACTACTGTCTATCTGCAGCGTGGTTATCGAACTGTTAAGTGCCTGTCGTGTGGCCTTCAGGGACATAACTGGCAACTGGATCGTGAAGACCCATGAGAGCATATTTGTGCTTCCTGTTCATCTATCCAGGACATCTATTGTAAAACTCCTAAAAAATATTGCAATTTATCTTAAACTATATTTACCTGTATAATGTGTAAAGTTTTCGCCTGTCCATGTGCTATGTATTTTGTTTATTGAACTGTACTCTTCGTCATGTGGCCATAAATACTGAATAAAGCTCTTCTTCTTCTTCTTCTTCTATTCATTCAGTTTTCCATGTATGAGTCATTGTTTGTTTTTGGGTTTTTTTGGTGTGCTTTCTTATTTCTTTGGTGTTTGATTTCGTTATATACTCAGCAGCAAAACAACGTCAGTACGAATTCAAAGTTAGATAGGCACTGTAATCAAATCATTACAGAAATGGACATAATAAGCGGATCAAACACATTTGTTGTGTACACTATCTTGACACATCAATGAATAACACAGCACAGTTCAAGACATTACGTGAACGTTTGCAGTCCATTCAGACCCTTGACTTCAGTATCTTGTGTGACCACCACGAGCGGCAACATCTGCAGCACAGCGTCTATGCATGGAGTGCACCAATCGATTGATGAAGGCCATTGAACCACACTCTGAGAAAGGCCTGGCGCAATAAATCGGCTGTGTTCGGCCTTGGTATGACATTATTCAGTCTCTTCTGAATTTCATCCCAAAGATGTTCAATTGGGTTTAAATCAGGACTAAGGGCTGGCCACTGCATAATGTTGACACCGTTGTGCTGTAGGAAGTCCCATGTAGCTCTGGCAGTATGGGCCCGGGCGTTATCATGCTGGAAAATGTTGTTCCGGTGACGTGTGAAATGTGGTATGACGTGGGGTCTGAGCGCTTGGTCGATGTAGCGCACCGCTGTGATGCCGCCTCCTCTCCCTGGACCAATGTTCTGGAACACCACAGAACCCAGTCTCTGGTTCAGGCCTATGCCATTCCATACCATGATGCTTGCACCTCCCATGAGTCTGTTTCCATAACACATTTGTCTGAGTAACGCTGGCCACGGCGTCGCCATATTCTTTTTCTGCCATCTGCAGTTGATACGCAGTATCTCATCTGTAAACAGAACAGTTCTCCATTGCCTGTATCGCCAGTTTTGGTGTTGTAGGGCAAACTGTAGACGTTCACGCCGATGACGAAGGGATAGGTCCATGGTAAGTTCTACGGCAATGGAGGTTCCTGCTGTTAAGACGTCGGCGTACTGTATCATTACTGATTGGTTTTCCGTGTGTTCCCACTGTCTGGAGTGCTGTTTCGGATGGATTCTGTACATGCTGTCGCACAACGTGGCGGTCTTTTTGTCTTATGGACACCCTTGGTCTGCCAGTACGGGGACGATCATTTGTGGTGTTGATAGCCCGGAAACATTGCTGCAGCCTGTAGATGGTCCGAACGTTGACCTGTAAGTGATTGGCAACGGCTTGTGCAGTGTGGCAAGCTTCAAGTCTTCCTAGCGCCTCGTTCCTCTGAGCTGTCGTTTGTCGCGGCATCCTGCTGCCGTTGTAATGTGAATGTTTCAACCAGGTTTGGGGGGTGCATTTTATAGGGCTGGTCATTGTGAACAGCACTTGCCACATGAGTTGCATGACTGACTGAGTTTGGTTTTTACGCCGCTTTTAGCAATATTCCAGCAACATCACGGCGGGGGACACCAGAAATGGGCTTCACACATTGTGCCCATGTAGGGATTCGAACCCGGGTCTTCGGCGTGACGAGCGAATGCTTTAACCATTAGGCTACCCCACCGCC